TCTTGTATACTTTAAATCATCTCTAGATTACTTACAATACCTACAGCAAAAAAAAATGCCAGGCAAATAGTTGTTATAAAGTATTGTTTAGGGAATAATGAGAAGAAAAGGTCGGTGTACATTCACTACAGGCACATTTTCTTTCTACAAATATTTTATGTCTAATATTTAGGTCCAATATTTTAGGAATCCTTGGATGTAGAAGTTATGGATATAAAGGGCCAAATGCATTTTTATTCTGTTTACTTGGAGGGCTGCATTCCCAGTACCCACGAGGTATGGAACACAGTAATCCCTTGGCTATTTGTAAAATAACTGCTCTTGAGTTGACTGCTGGGAAAATTACCTATTAATAAATGTTCACTAGATAGTCATTAAAATAAAAGACAAACTCCCATAGTGCACCGGGAGAAGTTTGGACTAATTTAAACTTGTTTCCTCCGAACTTTGGCCTCCAGAAAAGGTACGTTTGTGAAGGAATGCCCTTATTATCTGTCCACCGGATTGGTGCTATGCAGACGGGAGCTATGCCAGGTGGAACTAATGAAGATAAGAATGCGGGGCCCACGTTAAGGCTCTTTCCCCTCTAGGCTACTGAATTAGTTTATCTGTTTCTAGTCGTACACAGTACCATCCAATTAACTGTTATTATCGTGATTCTGCTCAAAAACTGTCAATAGTACCCCAGTGCCTGCCCCCTAGGACGGGAACACCTTAAGCTAATACAAAAGGCTCAACCTTCCTTCCACACCAGTCCCCACAGCTCTCTAATCCAGTCACATGCAGAGTGTCCTTCATGCAGGTCTCATCCTGCACAACCTCTTCTCTTTGGTCCCTGTGGCTCCCTTCACCTTGAGAGCTCTTCAATGTCTCATTCCTGCTTGAAGACTCAACTCTCACTTCCGGCAGGAGGTGTTCTCTGATCCCCGCTCCTGGAAGCAACCTCTTCCTCTTCTGTAGACCCACAGAAGTCTGTTCACACCCAGGACACTTTTTACAGTCTTCTTGCACTGTGGTTATTTTTGCACTTTCCACAAATCCCTGTTATAATGTAAATCTAATAGGATCTTGCCTCATTCTCTCTTAAACTCCATAATGCTGTATACCCCAAAACAAAACCTACAGTCAAGTCCTCTGTATCTTCAGGTTTTGCATTCATAGATCCAACTATGAATTGAAAATATTTGGGGGAAAAAGTGTGTCTATGTTACCTGTACTGACTTCCTCCTAGTCATTATCCTCTAACTATAAAGCATAACAGCTGTTTATGGAACGTTTATGTTATATGAGGTGTTATACATAATTCATAGATGACTTAACATGTATGGAAGGGTTATGTATGCATAAGTTATGGGCAAATGCTGCACCATTATACATAAGGCCTGGAGCATTTGCAGCTTTGGGTATCTGTGGTGGGCCTGAAACCTCTTCCCTGGGGATACAGTAGGATAACTGTATTTAGCTAAAAGAAAGGGTCTAGTAATGTTGAAGTTGATGTTTTAAGAAGTAGACATGTTAGAATGGATGCTTGGAAGCTTCCTGTGCTCCTGGGTTCACATAGATATATTACTTTCTGCATTCCTGGCACATCAATGCTCTAAATGCAAGTACAATCCATGGCTCCATCAGTTATTCAGTACAACTTCATGGGACGTCTACCCTGTGCAAGGCCTGTGTGGGAGAGGCATGGTCCTGGCCCTGACTGTGCCTTGTAAGCATCTTCTGAGCAGTGCTTATGTTCTCTTTCCTCCCCACATGGGGACCGAAGAGACACTGCACAGTCCACAGCTGGGCAGCAGCAACTTGGGATAGGAATGACCTTCATTGACGTTGAGATGTATTGAGTAGAATAAGCCTTGCAGTGCACAGAACCTAGTAAGATGTGATTTTAACAGACAGAGAAGATTGGCTTTTCGGAGATTCATCTTTGTGGTGATTTGGAGATTTCACTGTAGGAAGGAATCAGTCACACCCAAACTCCTTTTTCTGTCTTGTCTGCGATTAGTTTCCAGGTATTCACTCGGGATGACTTTCAAGTTCATTTTCAGACTAAAACAAGCGCCAATGAAAACTGAAAGTCAATAGGTTTCCATCTCGCAACGTTAATGAAAGAGAAAGGCGCCCAATTTCCAATTACAAACAATATATAAAGGGGAAATGGGTACAAATATACATGTCAAGAAGTACATTGGATTTGGTTACATTCATTTCTAAATCAAGGAACTTTTTTAAAGTTGCTGTGTATAAAATACTTTTTTAAAAATAAGGTTGCAAGGTATAAATGCATCTGATCTGGATGCCTCACTAAAGCTCCCCCATCCTTATGTCGGGTGTGGCAACACCCAAGCCAGTCCCATTACCCATTTCTGGGCTCAAATCTCAAACCCAAGGGTACCCAACCCTTTCTGTGCCCCTTCAGCCAGGAGCCTCCAATCTTCCCAGACCCCTTTGCAGCACTTCCTGGTGCAGGGAGTTCTTTTCTTGGCAGGCGCGTCTCTTCCCCCGGCCTCTGCCTTCCCCATCTCCTGCTCCTTTCTCCCACGGCCCATCTGCCCCTCCTCTCCTCCTCCCGCTCCCCTTTATTTCTTCTCGGCACCCTGGCGCAGCTCTCCCTCCCCCGGCCCTCCTCCCGCTGGAGCTGCGGCTCCCGGAAGCCGCGG